GAAAACTAAATCTATTCACATAAAAGTCATAGATAGTCATCCATTGTCTTCAAGAAAATTTTTTCATGAAATCTTTCTTATAGAAGTAAAAATTAATAATCATAGTAGCTTTGTAATAATTAATATCATTATATTTCTTTGTAATCCAATCATTTTAGGTTTATTATGACAAAAAAAATATAATCCAAAAATAAATTAGATTTCTCGTAATCTTGATTTTTTTGAAAGTATAACTAAGAGTGTAATTGATCAAGTAAAAAGTCATAAGTTTAATGCAATTAAACTTATATTTGTAAGTGCAAGAGGTTTCTTACATACTATAAAAAAATGATTACCTTGTAACATTTATACTACACTTGTTTTTAATGGTAGAAAGACTTCAAGTAGCATTCCAAATCAATATCAAGATTTTTAAGATGTATTTGAGAAAAAGAATGCAAATACTCTACTAAAACATCATCCCTATGACTACTCAATTGACCTTCAAGAAGGAGCTCAACCACTATTTGGACCAGTTTATAGTTTATTACAAAATGAATTAGTTAAACTCAAAGAATATACTAAAGAAAATTTGGCTAAAAACTTCATATACTATTTCAAATCTGCAACATGAGCTCCAATTGTATTTGTAAAGAAAAAAGATGAATCATTGCGTATGTATGTCGATTATTGAGGACTCAATAAAATCACTATAAAAGAATAGGTATTTGCTACCTTTGATATTTATATTTCTTGATCAATTGAATCAAGCTAAGATCTATACAAAAATAGATCTACAAGAAGTATACAATTTGGTATATATTAAAAAAGGGGATGAATGAAATACTACATTTTGAATAAGGTATGGACATTTTGAATATAATTTCATACCTTTTATACTTACAAATGTACGAGCAGCTTTCCAACATCTAATGAATAATATTTTTTGACACTTTTAGATGATTTTTTTATTTATTGCCTACATAATATCTTAATCTATTCTAAGAATAGAAAAGAACATGAATTTTATCTTTGTTGTGTTTTACAAAAACTAAGAGATGCAAGATTCTATGCCAAGATAAAAAAATAAAAAAATAAAAAAAATAAAAAATGTGTATTCTACACTACTCAAGTTATCTTCTTCGGATATATCATTTCAAATGATGGATTTATAATAGATCTTAAGAAAATTCAAACCATTATTAATTGGAAGATCTCAAAAATAGTAAGAGATGTCTAATATTTTTTAAAATTTGTAAACTACTATCAAATCTTCATGAAGAACTTTTCTTAGCTTGTAGCTCTACTTACATGTTTGACTTGTAAAGACAAACTTCAATGGAATCAAGAAGTAGAAGCACCATTTGAAGCTATGAAGACAACCTTTATTTTTGCACCAATCTTGTATTCCATCAATTTTTCTAAGCCATTTTTTATAGAAATAGATGCATCAGACTTTATTTTAAGTATCATATTATTACAAAAAGAAACAAATGATAAACTTCATTCAATAGCTTTTCATTCAAGAAAATTTTCAATAGTCAAGATCAACTACAAGATTTACAATAAAGAACTTCTTACAATTGTAGATTTGTTTCAAGAATAGCTCCATTATTTAGAAGGTGCTTCTAATCCAGTCATTGTTTATATCAATGATAAGAATCTTGAATATTTTATATTAGCACATATTTTGAATAAACTATCATAGGTGAAGAAATAACCAAGTTTTTTCTTGACAATATCTATCACTATCATGGATTGCATAAGGATATTATATTAAATAAAAGAACTTAGTTTATATCACGATTTTAAAGAACGCTTTTCAAGATTCTAAGAGTAGACATTAAACTATCTTCAACTTTCCATCCTTAAGTTGATAAACAAACAAAGCATGTTAATCAAGTTTTGGAGCAATATTTGAGGTATACCATCAATTACCAACAAGATGATTGGATAACTCTTTTACCATTGTCACAATTTGTTTATAATAATACAGTATATTTTTCTATGCAATAAACATCTTTCTTTGCTAATTATGGTTATTATCCATGATTTGATGCTTTTGACTTTTTAAAAGTTAATAATCCTATAATAGAAGATTTAGCAAATTATTTATCTAAGCTATATATAACAATGAATGTACAACTAAAAGAGGCTCAAGAACAACAAAAGAGCAATATGGATGCTTATTGCAAGAAACAACTTTATTTTCATATTGATCATAAGACATGATTACTTTGTTGTAATATTAAAACTATTCACTTTTGTAATAATTTGGATTATTATAGACTTAGACCATTTTCTATTTTTGAACAAATTAATCTAGTAGCTTATCAATTATATCTATTAGAATCTATAAAAATCCATCTTGTATTTCATGTGTCTCTTTTAGAGCCATATAAGACAATGAATATCTGAAGAATAAGACAAATACCATTGCCTCCTATAAAAGATAATAATCAAGAATTCAAGGTGGAAGAAGTTTTATACTCAAGGCCACACCAACATAGGTTGGAATATCTTATTCATTGATGTGAATATGGTATTAGTAAACGCATATGGAAGCCAACAAAAAATCTTATAAATGGAGCAGAGAAAGTCAAAGCTTTTTATCAACGACATCCATCAAAACCAAGATGAATGATAACAAACCTTTATTATTAAAGTAATATAATTTAAAAAAGATTGCATTCTACCTTCTATCCTTGTTTGTAATTTCTATATAATTGTAATGTTAAAAAGATGAAAAATCAATAGACAGCGGATTTAACTCAAAAGCCATTATTTACTAATTTATTGGACTAGACATTGCAAATATCTCAGCTTTCAAGATGATGTAATAAGAATGAAGAACTTCAAGAATGATATATTCTTCCTTGAATAGATGGCAAGTTACAAGGCATTTGGTATCACAACCTAAGAAGAGACTCTTGATGTTTGGTGATTTTATTGGAGGTAGGAACGACTCTTGAAGATATTACAAATGTTTTGTTTTAAGGAAGTTATGAAGGCTTTAACAATGATCAAATAACATGGTGGTCGTCTTGCTTTGGAATGGGACATTTTTAATCGTTGAGAGGAACTAACAACTGCCTTTGAAGAGAATAAAGTTCAAAGTACATAGTAAATTTAATTTGCTGTATCTTAGACTTTCTCAATATGTGATCATTGCTCCTTGTGGAACTTGTTGCTAGAAGGGGGGATAATATCATGAATATATATATATATATATATATATATATATATATATATATATATTATAATTGTTATCTTGGTAATACAAATAGATAGAAATAAGTAAAAGTAGATTAATTTCATAATACCTTTTAGAAAAGCTTCCTAGAAGCTTTTTAGATACTATTTTGATTTTACATGTGTTTTTAGTTGATTGATAAGTTAGAAACTTAGTCAATAAGCTAACCACATGCTACATGTATTGATATATTACGGAACAAGCTAACTATATGGCACCTTTATAGAAAACTTGCCTTGCAAGTTAAGATACGTGTCATGCAAAGTCAACACATTTTTGGAGGTCATGTAGAATATTGCTACATAGATCTTAGATAGATAGTATATATAGAGGCAAGAATGAAGTCTTCTTCACTCTTGTCAATTCCTTTCTTGCTTCTAGTCTAGTTTCAAAAGTCTCTAGTTTCCTTGTCTTTTGGCAATAACTATTCTAGTTTTCTTCCAATATACATACTTTTCTATTTTTATTTTGTCATATTTCTTTGAGAGAGCCTCATTTGATTATTTGTTTCATCAAGTTCTTGTCTTTGACATAGTATCTACAAAAGTTGGATTTGGAGATATACAAAGTCTTGTGTTGAGTTAATAGAGTTTCTTCTACTTGATTTTTTTCATAATTTCTGATTTTGATAAGGTCTTTTTATAGAAGGAGGTGTTATAGTTTGTTGCATGTGGAAATATGATCCCTTCTTGAGATCATTTATTGAAAGATATTCTAATTTGAAGATAGGCTAGTCAAAACTTTGTCATTTAATTTTTAATCTAATATTAGTACTCCAATGTTTATAAGTTAGTCAATTAGATTTTTAATGGTAATGAGATGTTGCATAAGATCATCTTTGTCAAACATTCTATTGTTGTATAGTTGAGATTTGAAAGAAAGTTTGCGGTTCATAGAGCTAGATTGATACAAATCTCTCAACTTAGTTTAGATTTTTCTAGAATTTGAAGTATGCATAATATAAAAAGAATATAATCCTTTACTATTGATACAATGATTTGAATTGCCTTGTATTGCTGCTCTTCAAGGAAGGAGCTTTATATAGATGCAAGTGAAGAAAAGCACACTAGAGTTGTTGAATTTGTTATTGTTTGCTCTAATTAATGATAACTAGTAGAAGAAGATTCAATGGTTGAAGTGTTGGAAGGATCAATCACACTCCAAAGTCTTTTATCATGAAGTTTAGTTTGAAGCTTATATGACTAGATGGTATAATTAATATTGTCTTGAAGTTTTGAGCTCTCAGTGATGTCTCTCCCTCTCATGATAAACTCCATCTTAAAATATCAAAGGAAAGGAAGCAAGGTAGATTATAAGTAGGACAATGTGAATCAAGAAGAGCAAGAAGGAACAAGGGTCTATTGTTGCTGTGATACCATGCAGCAATCCTCACATTGCTTAATAGTCAAAGATATCAAAATTATATTAAAAAGAGAGAGAGAATACATAAAGTAATAAATAACTTAATACATAGTTATTATTCTATTTATAGTCACTGTAATCTGGACAGCACATCACGTGGCTCCATAGGATTATCAACAAAGATGGATGAAAAAGATGTAGGACGAAGAATATCATCAAAGGATATCCAAAATTAGACACCCATCGTTCATCTTCAGTCCTTTATCAACATTTGGTAATGTGGGTATAGTCTTTTTCACGCATTGAATCTAATCTTGAGCTGGGATAACCACAGTGGACAAGCACAGAACCACGTTTCAAGTTCCATGTTGAATCAACCTCTTATATGTTTATTTTCCAGCAAACGTGCCCTAAATTTGCATATCCAATTTCCTACATTGCTAGATGCTAATATTAAGCTTCGGTGCATGGGATGAAAGGCTGTGTGGATAAGGCTATTATATCATCCCACCACTGAATATCAAAGGGCTCCATCTCAGTAGCATCAAGAGTTGTGAAGCAGGATTTGAGTTTGAATCCATTCGGAGAAGAGTGGAAGAATTGAATGCGGTGGGGCGACCTGGAAACCGTGAATCCATCGCATTGTTTGTTTCTGGTTGTGGTGATATTCTCGCCATGGCGCTTTCATGGTTCTTCTTGCACTGAGTGTGGGACAGTTGAATTTGAAGCTCATGGGGTTATGTCCAGGTTGTGTTTGGAACGGTATGAGAAGTGAGAGTCAACTTTCGGCATTGTAGTTTGTGAGTGTGGAGTTTCTGCGGCGTCGGTGAGTTGGGAGCTATGGCTACGATGAAAGCCACAATGGTTGTATCGTCGTCTTTTTGTGTAGGCAGAAGTAGTATCCATGGCACTAGGTTGGGTCATTGCAAGGAGACAGAGCGCATTGCTTGTGGATTTAATCCAGTCCGCTCTGAGTTCACGAGACGCATCAGTGCGTCGGTGACACTACCATCGGTGGACGATAGAGTGGATAGGAAGCCCTTGGTGTCGACCGAGCAGGTGGGCGCGACGGAGGTGGGGCAGAGGCAGCAACTATTCAACAAGGTTGCACCTATGTATGATAGCTTGAACGATTGGCTGAGCTTGGGGCAACACCGAGTATGGAAGCGCATGGCGGTAGCGTGGAGCGGCGCGAAGAGAGGGGATCGAGTTTTGGACATTTGCTGCGGCAGCGGTGATGTGTCTTTCCTTCTTGCGGAGAAAGTGAAGCCCACCGGGAACGTTGTAGGATTGGATTTCGCCCAGGAGCAGCTGGATGTCGCCGCCCGGCGAGAGGACGACTCGAACTTGTGTTCAAAGATTGAATGGCGATTGGGAGATGCGCTTGCTTTGCCCTTCGATGAGGGCAGCTTTGATGCTGTCACCATGGGCTACGGTCTGCGAAATGTGGCTAGCGTGCCGTTGGCGTTGAAGGAGATTCGGAGTGTGCTTAAGCCTGGTTCAAAGGCTTCGATTCTTGATTTCAATCGTAGCGAGAATGATAGTGTGGTGCATTTTCAGGGTTGGATGCTGGATAATTTGGTAGTTCCTGGGGCGTCTCTGTTTGGTTTGGCGGATGAGTACGCATATTTGAAGACGTCGATAGCGCGGTTTCCCACGGGTCCCCAGCAAGAGGAGTTCGCCATGGCGGCTGGCTTTTCGAAGGCTGTTCACTATGAAATTGCGGGCGGGCTAATGGGAGTCCTGGTTGTGACCAAGTAGACTGGACAACTCTCTAACCACACCTTGAAGTATTCCTGCAAATATTAGAATCACGGAAACTGAATTCTAAAGCAAGATGTACCCGGAAGACCAGACAAGCAGAATTTTGGGAGATGTCGTCACATCAGAACAGAGTATATGTTGGAAAGAAGTAATATAAAGGTATATGTTTGTGCGAGTCGACAGGTGACTTGCGAAACAAATTTGGAATCGAATGGAGCCAGAATAGGTAGCTTGCGAAGGAAATAGAAGAGCAGAGGGCTATCAAGTAATCCTGGAATTCAGTCACTGTAATACATTTCTTCAATGCAGCTGACGAAGTCTCGATTCGCATACTTCGGGCACAAATAGTCAAAACTAACTTATTAGCTCAGAATTACTGGATCTCTCACACCATCACTGTTCCTTCTGTTCCTACACGAAAACTTTCCATCCACCGTCGAAGTACTCACGTTTCACAGGGCAACAGAAACTACATGTGCAGGGAAATTCGCAAGTATGTGGTAGTAAGAAACTTCTGCGTTCAACAGCAAGCACACACGGGGTTGACGAAATCGCTATACGATTGACACCCTTGAGTAATTTTATAACAAATGGAACAGTTACCACGTTATCCACACTTGAGAACCTTGAACTCTGAAGAGATTCAGGACGAATTCACTCGATCTGCCATGAAAGCAAGGTACGTAACCTCTCAAATCTGAACGCAACTCCTAAGCTTTCCACCTTCGCGAAGAGATTCACGAAGGGATAACTCCTAGTGTAGGGTTGAAGAATAAGGATGGTGTGTACTTCTAATAAATGCTTGTGAAGCTGCATATCTCGTCATACTTGGTTGAACTCCTGTATTCATCTCTTCCCAATCTTCAGTTCAAACGCAAAACATATCCTGGACTGAAATAGGGCTCTGTTAGTCTACAAAGGTCATGTTAATGACAGTACAGAGAAGCATCAAATCATTATAGTTTCTTCCCTGCCAAATTAGACTAGTAATTTTGGGAGGGTTGCGAGAGCAGCAGAAGTTGTTTTTTTTTTTTTTTTTTTTTGGGAGGGGGGGGGGAGGGGGTTGTAGATTATGAAGGAGAAGGGTAGAGAGGGAGAGCGAGAGAGCGAGAGAGATTCGGAACAAAGGGGAGAAAGAAGAAAGGAGAGTGTGGATCCTTTGGAAGAAGGGATGTGAGTGTGGATGGATCCTTTGTTTGCAAGTTGCAGCTGGAGTGTGGAATGAATCGGAAGAAGTAAGTTAAAGTAAGTTAACTGTGAGGATGATGTAAAATGGAGGAGAAGGGGGAAAAATTACTGAGTGAGATGATGCCTTGGACCAGCTGAATTGAGTTGGAGTGATGCACGGAGGGAGGACTTGGAGTGATTGATGCCAAACACATACAAACATACATTATTGTATTGTATTGTAGTAGAGTAGAGGAGAGTAGAGTACATTGTTGCAAAGTGGCACACAAACACAAGGGTGGGGGTGGGGGTGGGGGAGTTGCACCATCGCAGTTGGGGGAGAAGAGGAAGGCGGGGATATGGAGGTGGGGGTGAGACGGGACTGGCACGACTATACTTGAACAGGATCTGTTCTACAGTCCGAACACCTGAACTCTGCTCTCCAACACGAACAAAACCTTCAACCCAGACGATGATTCAGGGCTCCCCGGCTTGAGCGCGTTTGCGCTGCACCGGGTGCTGTGCCAGTTACCAGTGGCCCTGCTGGACTCATGTGCGGGGTGGATGGGCTACTGTGTGTAGCCAGCAGCAGCTGCAGCATCTGCCAGATGAGCGTCCCGCCCTCTCTCATATTCATATTCCCGGGGGCGGTGATGGCCGGAGAGCGTTCTGACGGGGCCACCCTCCCCCACTCTCTCAATCCCTCCGCACATCTCTCCCCCTTTCTCTTCTACTACTTACTGCTTGTATTGTTCGTCGACGGTCTTGTTTGCGGGCGGGTGCCCAGGGAATCAGAAGTTGCCTAATATTATACGGTGTACTGAGATCGACATGAGCGTAGTCGCTTTGGCCGAGTGGTTAAGGCGTGTGCCTGCTAAGTACATGGGGTTTCCCCGCAAGAGTTCGAATCTCTTAGGCGACGATTGAGTGACACCTAGAAGCATGCATAAGCGTATGCATGGACTGCCGCGACTGAAACGCTCTCCCATTCTTTTTACTTTACTGACGCCCTTGTCGCCCTTGTTCTTGTCCCCGCCACTTCACCTCTTCTTCTCTTCCTCCTTCCTTTCCTTCTTTCTTTCTTCCTCCCCCTCCCCCCTCTCCTTTGCATCTTGTCCTGCAATACCACTCATTTAACTTCTCTCTTTCGTTTTTCCAACACACTCTCTCTCATTTATTCATAGTTCCATCCATTTTTCTATTTCCTCCAATCATGCACTTGGTTGTAAAATCTCTTCTTCTTTTGTATCTACATGTACATGAATAAATGGCTTCCTTCTTTGCAAGCCTGGCTTTACCAATGCATCACACAAAAATAAAAATTATAACATGTATGGCAAAGAAATTAAATTGAAAATGACATTACAACATCATTGTTTAGAAAAAGGTTTGTAATCAAATCATCCACCTCCACTCTAATCCATTCCCTAATAAATTGGATAATCTCTAATCCATGTAATTTTAAGTAAATTATTCTACTTGGATTAGATAGAATTACAAGGATTATCTAGGACTATAAGGGATTTGTGTATCACTATGGATAATTTAGTCTATATCAATATTAATTGATTAATTTATGTAATTATAATTAAGTTATTTATATTAATTAATTAGAATTATAAGGATTACTTAGCACTACAAGAACTATTGTGTATAACTATTGTCTTTTACTTTGAATATGATTTCTAAAAGTCAATGACTTTTCTACTTGGCCCTATTTAAAGTTGTATGCAATGATTAGAAAAATATTATGCATGAAAAAAAAAAAAAAAAAAAAAAAAACTATTTGAAGAAATTATCTATTCCATTAGTTTGTATATTAGTATATAACATCTGCCTAGAGCTATGTTTAGAATTGAATGACAATACAAGGCATAAAAGCAATAATTAAAAAGAAGATACGACACAAATAAGACCTACACCTTTTAATAACAACAATCAAAAAACCATCTATGTATCAATCTATAGAGTCAATAGCCTTTGTAGATTAAAATAACTCTTCTCAAGAACCACTTAAAGAAGGACATATATTTTTATTTTATTTTTATTAGAAGTTACTATAGTAGAATTAATTAGCATTTTGGAAAAAGAATTATCGAATTATCTAATAGCCAACCTTCTTTTCTTTCTACCAGAGCAAGCACATCTTGAGAATTGGCTCGCTATTGAAAAAAACAATAAAGTTTTCAAGTCACCACAACAATAGAAAACCATTAACATAATATCAAGAAAGAAAAGACCAATCTCTTCTAGCATACTTAAAGAGTAGATATGGAATATATTATATTTTAAACATATTTCCTAGAATGGAAAACACAAGCTTTAGATTTGGTCCATATTAAACACCAAAATTCATGATTATAGGTATTTCTTTGGCCTTATCTATTGACAACTTTATAATGCAAGAAATATCTTTTTCATTAATATCTAATAGGCTTTTACAAGTATAAAGATACTTTTTTGGGATTAAATAGTAAAAAATCTATAATGATATATAGGCCTTGAGTGCAAAGATTTAGCCTATCAAAGCTAGAATTTGGTCAAATAGATTGACAAATGGGAGATCATTTCTAAAGGCTCTTATATGTGTTTCATGGACATATATATATAAACCAATAATTACTTATATGATTTAGATAATAGTAGATAAAAATAAGTCAATTTCATAATATCTTCTATAGTAGCTTCTTAGAAGCTTTACAGATATTATTTTGACTTTATAAGTGTCTTTAATTGACTTTTTAGATTATATACGTGGTCAAAAAGTTGGCCATGTGCCACACATGTTGATAGCTTGAAGAACAAGCTAACTATGTGGCCAACACATAAAAAACTTGCTTTGTAAGCTAAGGCATGTGTCTTGTAAAGTCAACACATATTAGAAGTCCTATAGAATATAGCTACGTAGCTCCTAGTTAGATAGTATATATAGAGGCAAGAATGAAGCTCTCTTCATTCTTATCAACTCTTTTTTTACTTCTAGTTTAGTTTCAAGAGTCTCAAGTCTTCTTATCTTTTGGCAATAAGCCATTCCAGTTTATTTTTAATATATGTACTTCCTTATTTCTATTTTTTTATTTTTTCTTTGATACAAATTTTATTGTTTTATAAATCATCTTCTAATTCATGTCCTTCATAGATTGATAAGAGTACACTTATAATATCATAGCTTTGTCTTGTCTTGATTAAGAATGGATTATCCTTTTTTCATGATAAAACATAAGCCTATTAGAAGTTGTGGATTACCCTCTTCTAAATTGATATTGTTCCTAGTATTTTCTTTGTCCTCTACTTCTTTCTTCTATTTATCTTGAATAGTATTAGATATTTTTTTGAATGTTATTATGGCAGAATTTGTTGAAATGAAGGATGCAATAGTACAAATGTAAGAGTAATTGAGGGAGTTGATGCTAGTGATGCATCAACTTAATTTACCACCACAAGGATCATAAAAAATGATAGGAAGTGAGGATGTAGAGATAATTAGAATTACTTCAACATCTGCACCAAATCATCTCCCTCTATCCACAATCGAACATCTTTTAAGTATTAGAGAACCAAGAATTGTTTTGCTTAAGAAGTTTGATGATACAAGATCTAAATTTTAAGGATTTATCAATCAAGTATAATTTGTATATCAACCTCAAAGCTATCCAACTCCAAGATCATAAGTTAGATTTATCGGTACACTTCTTTCCGGTTTAGCACTATTATGGTTTTCATCTTTTCTTGAACAAAGAGATCTAATATTGAATAATCTAAAGGCATTTTTGGTAGAATTTTGGTCTATGTATGGAAAACATGATGCAACTCATGTTGCAACCAACAAGATCTTTATTTTGTGACAAGACAATTGATTTGTAATATTATATGCTTTATTATTTTGACAACTTGAAACTGATATTAAGTGGGATGATGTTACACTTATTAGCTAATTTTTTTATGGATTACAATATGAAGTAAAGAAATTGATGCTCAACTTACCTGATCCTCAAATATTGAATCAAGCAATTAACTTTGTTATAAAGTGTAATAATCAATTTTTTAAATTTTGATCTAAGATTCGCATAAGTAGGCCTTAATGTTATTACAATTCAATGACAACACCAATATCTCTTCAATACATACATTCAAAAGTAAAAGATATGCAAATTGATGTGGTACATTTTAAATCTCTTATCGAGTAAGAAA